TTGATGGCTTGCAGGTACTCCGGGCAGCTTCTCTTCCAATGTCCTATCTTGTGGCAGTGGTGGCACTCTGCCTCCTTCGGGTTAGAGCAGGGCTTAGCGGGATCAACTTTGGTCCCACTAGAAGAGGCACCATCTCGGGCTTTAACCTTGCGATAGTTCTTTGATGAAGCCTTCCTCTTCTTTCCCTTTCCTTGTCCAATTGCCAAGACAGGAGCAGCGGGCGGATTGGGAGTTGGTGCAACAGACTTGTCCTTGAAGTTGCTCTCAGCGACCCTCAAGAGACCTTGGAGTTTGCTTAGGGTGACCTCTTCTTTGTTCATGTGATAGGTCATCCTAAATTGATTGTAGCTCGGAGGCAAAGAGTGAAGCACCATGTCGATCGCCAAGTCTTCCCCAAAGTCAACATTTAACTTGCGAAGGCGGTCGACATACCTTTGCATCTTTTGCAAGTGCACGGTAAGAGACTCTCCATGACCCATCTTAGCGGAAATCATGTTCGTGAAAATCTCATAACGCTCTTGTCTCGCGTTTTGATGGTATCTCTCCAATAAGTCTTGGTGCATTTCGTACGGATACATGTCCTCGTAGGACTTTTGGAATTCGGAGTTCATTGTCGCGATCATGATGCAATGCACTTTCGTTGCATCACGCTCGTGAGTTTCGAAAGCGGTCATTTCGGCGGGAGTAGCGATTTCGGGGTTGATTTTCTCGAGCTTCTCATCGAGGACATACTCCTTATCCTCATAGCGAGCAATCGTGCGAATGTATCTTATCCATTCGCTAAAGTTCGTTCCATCAAAGGTGACCTTGACAAAGGCGCATCAAAGTGAAAGAACTCGCAACAGCATTGTTGGCGTTCGACATCTATAAATAGAAAGGACAAAGATAGATTAGAATATGAATCCCTAATAATCACCCAATAAGAAAATTAGGGCTAGGATCCAACAACAATATTTACACATTAGAAAAGGGATGTCGTAATCTAATATGCAAACAATTTGAAGGTAAGTGAATGACGATTCACTAATTCTCCACCATGAAAAACATAGCTTTAAGTCCTAAATGTATTGAGAATTCCTAGGTTCGGATGAGATTCATTGAAACTTTTCAATAGCATGTTTAAATCTCGATATGCCCCTCTTGTTTGTGACTGGGATACCGAGGATCACAAAGCGGGTGTGAATTACCATGCAAATTAACATGGTGCCTTCATTGTAACGATCACCTATTCGATGTGCCGGTAAACCACACACACTCCATCGAACTATGATAAAGAATGAATCACCCTTTGCCACCTTCGCTTAGAACCAATTAGTGTGCCGGTAAACCACACACGCTCCACTAACTTCTTAGCAAGGTGCAAAGTGTAATTTCATGGGATTGCATCAATTCACTTTTCCTAAAGTAACTAAGATTGGAAATTTTAAGAAAACATGTAGTTACTTTGTATTTCTTATTATACTTTTAATGAGAGGATGAGGTTGCCCTATCCTACCCGTTCGGCTAACGACCCTCCACCAATCAAGCGAGCGGTGGGTGTGAGTGTACACCCATTAAGCGCCATTTTATAGGCCGCAACCTTATACCCACCTTATAGACCGGCTTCGTGAATGAGGCCTACTAACGGTAAGACTAGCATTTAAGTTATACATATATAGATATTAATCTTGTAATATTATATTAGTATAGGTTGTATTTTAAACTTGTAAAATTCTAGGGTTTGAAATTTAAATTGTCTAAATTAAACTTTTAATCACAAAACATAAATTTCAAAACTTGAGGACTAATTTTAAACATTTAAAACATAAAGGATCAAATAACAAATAATTCAAATTAACAATTAATCACATAATTATCCATATTTGATTTCTTGAATACCAATTTTAATCAAAATAATTAATAATTATCAGATAAGGAAATTAAATATTTTATTAATTGATAAATATCTTCAACTAGATCAAAAATATAGTCATATATATCACAAAATCGGATTAGGGTTGATCTAATATGATTAAGGTAAGTTTCCATAAGATAAATATGAAAAAAATCCCGTTTTTGGCTAATCCTGACGCTCGGACTCGCCGAGTACCCACACTGGACTCGCCGAGTCAGGCCAACTCGCCGAGTCCACTGTGGGACTCGCCGATCCCATGACTCAGAAACATAAAAAAACGAATTTTTCAGTTAAGATTCAAACATTCAAGCATCAATTTAATAGAAACCAATCAAGGCTCTGATACCACTGATGGGTTTTGTACATAAGTACTTTCCTATGTGCGCATGCAAAACCCTAATGCTTGGATCTAGGCTTTCTAATTAAACATGCTTTGAATCCAAGACTTCTAATGGTTAATTAGGTATAAGAACAATACAAAACCAGAGTTAGAAGCATACCTTGAAACACTTGTTTGATCTTCTTGTTCTTGGAGCTCTAGAGTCACAATTGTCACTCCTCTAACGGCTTACAAACACCAACTAGCAAAGAGGATGATTTGAGAGAGAGGAAAGAGATTGGAATTCGGCCAGGGGTTCTCTACTTTAGATGATGTACCGATTTCCCTTTGCTATAGGCTCTATTTATACTTGTAGACTCCTTAAGGGTTACAACTCAAACCCTAGTTGGATAACTGTTACTCAAAGCAATCCAAACCCTTCCCAAGATAATGCCTTGGATGAATTTAAGGCTTATCCTAGCCTAGAAATCGTCCAACCCTTTATACATTAAGGATTTACAGTCTAAAGTTTAACTATCAACCAATTGACAGTTTATACCCTCTTATTTAATTAATCTCCTTAAGTCACCAAATTAATACTAATTAATCTATGACTTATATTAATCAAATAACTATATTATTATTCCTTATATTATTCTCATAATATACTAATAATATCTATTCTCTCATAATAAATCATCCTGCCAAGTTGCTATGGTGAAGGCAACCCAAAAGGACCATGCACAATCGGGTTAAATACTTGCCTAATATAGTTGCAGCCTTAGACACTATTCCAACAAATATCACACACAAATAATTAGCCTCTCATGGCTATATCTCGATAAGGACCCTCTGATCATGTGTCTTAGTGAAGACCCTCCGTCTCATAGCTCGGGTTGGACCCTCCGGTCCTGTATCTTAGTGAAGACCCTACGGTCCCACAAAGACAGAGTAACTCATTAAGGTATATAATGATATACAACATAAATTACAAAGACAGAATGCATAATATATCACATAACTCAGTATAAGCACATAAGACCCTCCGGTCACACAATGATTACTACTCAGGTAAGTATAGTGAAAAGACTCACCTCGCGTAGTAAAACAATATATCCCACACTCGAACTGCTGGTCTACACTCCGCCCCTCCATAGCTTCCAAAATCCACAGCTTGACCAAAACCCTAAAGTCAACGGAAGTCAATACTCAAAACTGACGCAACTCGTCGAGTGCAACTCATCTACTTGTCGAGTTCCTTAGTACTCAGTAAATCACGAAAACCCGAGTCAACTCGCCGAGTTGCTAGCCAACTCGTCGAGTCCATGCAGAGTCCAGAAGATTAGGGAAAACCCTAACCACTCGTCGAGTTGTTCTACCAACTCGTCGAGTTTACTTTGAATCCAAAATGGGAAAACCTGACTCAACTCGTCGAGTTGGATGCCCAACTCGTCGAGTTCTTCAGCCATTACACATTAAACTCATTCCAATCGATTCCAATGCTCCAACCTCCTAGGATGAAGCTACCATGTAAAGTTGCTAACTTTACGATCATGCAAGGCCTCACAAGGCTAAAATACCCAAAACTAGCTCAAGAAGGGGTTTAGGACATGGAGACGGGTCAAAGCTTCATAAAGCTTGAGGCTTTAGGCCTAAAGGGCCTACTAGTGTCCATATATGAGGTATCAGCTCCATAGCATGCTCACAACCATTAATGACTTAAGGAGAAGCTAGAAAGGGCCATAAACTCTCTAGTGGAGAGATCTAACAAACAAATAATCAAGGTAATGACTTTTTACCTTCAAATGACTGCGACTACTGAGATGATGTCGGATCCAAAGACTCCTTCTTGTTCCAAGCCTTCTACTCTTCAAGGAATGCACCAAAACACGCCCTCTATTAGCTCTAAACACTCTCAAATGGAAGGTACTCGATTAGGGTTTGTCTTAGGGTGGCAAAGTGATGAGGGAGGCGGGGCAAAGGAGTTAAAGTCCTTTAAATAGGGTGCCCGAATAATTAGGTTTTCATCAAACAGACTCAATTCGTCGTGTTCAATCCTCCGACTCGACGAGTAGACTTCATATCCTGCGCATCCTGATCAACTCATACACGACGTGTTGGGACCAACCAACTTGTCGAATAGGTCCTATAATGTGAATGAAATTCTCAAGTTCCACATCCAGGAAATCAGGGTGTTACACCAAATTTGCAGTTTTTCACTAAAAATTTACCAGGACTCGAGGCAACAATAAAATAGACGTTTTTCATAGAAATGTGACTAATTCCGTTAACCGATGTCAAATTTTTGTAACATAACAAAATCATTATTTCCAGTCTCCATTACTTCAATGAAAAATCATCAACATTTAACATGCTATAAATTATTACATTTCTAAAGAAATTGTTGTACTAGGGGATACGTCATCAACATTTAACATGTTATAAATTATTACATTTCTAAAGAAATTAATGTACTAGGGGATACAACTGTTGTAAACTGGATCACTGTTGAATGACATTTTCTTATTTCCATTTTAACATTATTTCATTTCATTACACCTTTGACTATGGTATCGGTATGCCAAACACCAAATTTACTATTTTTCTGATATCAATGTTTGTTGACGATAGCAGCATACTGTGTTTATTTCCGAAAGCAACCTCCAACCTATATCAACATAAATAACATATCGCCCGAAACCCGCTACACACGTTTTACATACTTACCCCTACCACGTATAAACAATATAAATACGTATGCACAACGACAACCATACATGAATCCAATCATCTAGGACCCGATAATTGTTCGTTGCTAATGTTATAAGTTGAATCCGGAATTATCCAATCAAAATTCTGATTGTGTGCCTGGTTGTAATCTTGCCTGAAAATCTCCTCTTTCTGCCACCTCCTCCCACCTCTCTGCTAACCCATCACCTTCAAGCATCCTAACAACTTCGGACATCTTCGGTCGCTCTAATGCCGTACCTTGTGTGCACAATAGTGCCCACCTGGATCAACTGTTCCACCTCATCGTCCACATAATTACCATCTAAATCCGCATCCACCAACGTCTCAAGCTTCTTATCCCTCAATAGTCCTTTCACCTAAAAAATTCCAAACTCAAAACATGACATAATAGGTTTTAACTGATGTCAATGAGATAAAAATTGCAGTACTGCTTACCCAATCAAGCAACATGACCTCATCATCATTAGCAAGTCGGGCAAGATCAAAGGCGCGTTGTCCCGTGATGAGTTCGAGAAGCATCACACCGTACCCAAAAACATCGGTTTTTTCGGAGGATTTCCCGGTGGATAGATACTCTGGGGCAATATGGCCAATTGTCCCACGTACAGCTGTCGTGACATGAGTATCTTTATAGTCCATGAGTTTAGCCAACCCAAAGTCTCCGACAACCGCTTCAAACTCCTCATCCAACAAAATATTTGCAGCTTTCACATCACGGTGTATAATCTTCGGGTCGCAATGATCGTGCAAATACGCAAGCCCACGCGCGGCTCCCAACGCGATTCGTTTCCGTACCGGCCAATCAAGTGCGGGTTGTGTGGCGGGTCGATCTACAATTATTTATTATCAATCGTCAGCATAAAAGTCGATAAATATCTTTTTCTTAACAAAAAGATTATTCTTATAGCAACCCCTGAGCTGGCCCACACTATCCTACCCAAAGAGCATCATTTGAGATATAAATCAGGTACATAGTGGCCGGGCCCTCACGGAGCCTAATCCACATTGGAACTGAAACTCCCACACTGCAACTACCGAAAGGGAGGAGGATTTGATAGTAGTGAAAATACCTCGCAAACACGATGCAACGCTTCCATTGGCCATGTAGGGATAAACAAGCAATCTTTCGGTTGGTGTCATGCAAAATCCTCTAAGCCGGAGAAGATTCCGGTGAACCGCCATACTAATCATCTCCACCTCCGTCTGAAACTGCAATTCACCGCCTTGACTACGTTCCTCTTTGAGTCTTTTTACAGCCACCAAACCACCATCGGCTAACCTTCCTTTGTAAACTTTACCAAATCCACCTTTCCCAAGAACGTTATTGTTACTAAAACTATCGGTTGCAACTTGTAGTTCACGTAGAGAAAATCTTTTCAGTTGTCCCAAGTGGACTTCGGGGTCCTCTTCGGCTGAAAGTATAAAAAGAATCAAATGAGAGGAAAATATTAGAAAAAAAAAAAATGGAATTTGGTGATTGTATTGTGTAAATGGACTAACCGGGTACATCAAAGAAATGATCTTGTGGTTTTCGGCGGCGATAATAAGCAAGTACGATTGCCGGACCTGCAAAAAGGAGAGCAGCACCGGCGGCAACTCCTCCGGCGATAGCTCCGGTGGCACTGTTGCCGACTGAAATCACAGTCAGCATATACAATTAGAAACAATACTTACTTTACAAAGGTAAAAATATAGAAAAATAGAACCTAGTTTCACAATTTTATCGATTTAGCCATTAAACTATTGATTCTTTATGTTTATAATAATAAGTTAGTGGCTAGATCGATTTGGAAAATAACAGTTCATTAGCTAAATCTACAAAATAGTCAAAGTATGTTGTGTTCTACTTCTGCGATCATGGTTTTTTTGCATGATCAAAAAAAGTATAATGGTTCAAACTTTAAACCGTTGGAAAATATAGTTAAGTGTTTAATCGATAAAATGGTGACTTAATAAATGCTTTTTTGAATTTTAAACTAATATGCAGAGCAACGACTTACAAGACAACGTACTTTAACCATTTTATCGCTTTAGCCACTTAACTATAATCTTTTATCCATTTAGCTACTAAAGTACTATTATTGTAAGGATCATAAGAAATCATCACCAATAAGAAAGCTTGAACATAGAAACACATCGCTCAAGTTTAAGAACAACTAGGCAAAACACAAACGCACTTTAACCTTATTATTGATTTATCCACAAAACTATTATTTTTTTTAATCAATTTAGCCACCAAACTATTTTTCAAGATATAAGGGCGTAAAGTCCTAATGGCAAATGAGAAATACCAGAAGAAGATTGAGAATTAGGTGAAGCAGGAGCTTGTGGAGGAGCTGGAGGAAGTGTCAAGTTGTTGTTACCCGCATAACTGAAAGAACAAAAGCTTGCAATCAACATAAAGAATAAAAGAAACCATCACATAATTTCACAAATCATATTGCTAACAACAAACCTGATAGGTGTGAAAAGTGAGAACGACCCATTTATAGGAACATTCCCAGTTAACTTATTGTTCGATAGATCACTGCAATAAACACCAATTCAACAATTTTTAGCTTTTTTGCAACGCTAAATTCCATTAAAACAAACAACTATTGTTTCTTTTCTTTTCTTGTTTAACCACCTAAATAACTTTTTTTAGTTTTAACCACTGAGGATTTGTCTCAAAAAAAAAAAAAAAAAAACACTAATAACGGGCACTCACAGAACTTGGAGCGAACTGATTCCAGTTAACGAAACTGGAATAGTTCCCGTCAAACTGTTGTTGTTGAGACGACTATTCTTGCACAAAAATAAAAACAGAAATGATTAAAAAAAAGGTCGTAATCGATGATTTAAATGTAAATTATGATAAATTCATAATAAAGAATCTTGAATATTACAGGAAACGGAGTTTTTTAAGGTTGCCTAATGTGTCTGGAATGCCACCTTCTAACTGGTTCATGTAAAGATCCAAACTCATCAAATTTGTTAAGTTTCCAAGCTCTTCTGGAATTTTTCCAGAGATGCTATTTCCATAAAGCTCCCTGTTGTTCCAGAAATAACATTACAAACTAGGGTTAAAAAGGGAAAAAATAGCAACCTACTTTTTGAAATTATGGTATTTATATCAAGGAATTGTATTTGAAAACTTTCATGTAGTTTTTCCAAAATATAAAATGAAAGTAGGATACTATAATAAACAAATTGACAAAAAAAGGTTGCTATTTCTGCATTTATAACGCATGATACTTCAAAAGGAAAATCTGGTACACGAAGATAAAGACTTACAAGTACTGTAAATTTATAAGTTGACCAAGCTGTGGAACCAGTTCACCAGACAATTGTGCGTTTCCAAGATCACTGTGTTTGATAAAAACCAAAAAAGCACAAATTTTGTTTTTAAATAAAAGAAACGAATGGAATAAAGAAATAAGAATTTCAAATTTTTATAAGCTTACAGTCTGGTAACGAGATTCGATGGGTCACAAGTAATATGAAACCATGTACATGGATTCACAAGGGTCGGATCCCAACTTTGTAAAATGTTAGTAGGATCGTTTAATTGCGTCTTTAGGGCATTCAATGCATCACCTGTGTTATAAAAAAAATATATATGAAATTTGATTACGGATTCATATTTAATACATCAAATAATTGATTAACGAAGTTTAAGGTCATGAAATTTCTATTTATGTTCTTCGCAATTACTATCTGTTATTAGAACGGAAGAGAGTAAGATTGGGGAAATGATTCAACGAATCCAAGTGCAATAAGTTGCTAGGTTCCAATTACATTCAAATTCTGAATCAAATTAACAATCAAAAAGCGCACATACCTTCAGCATTCCCATATACACTTGATAAGTTACAGAACCCGATGATAAACCAAAGGGTGAATAGAGAGACAGTTCGATCCATTTCCCGCGAAATCGAGTCAAGCTATAATCTTTAGATTCCTCATCAATTACTCAACCGGATCAAGAAATTCGAAATACCTAAAACCCAGAAACAACAAACGCTAGCTTTGAACGTAGTTCAGGTAAACAAGAATTACTTATCAAATCCAGAATTATAGGATCAATAAGCTAAAACCAGAAACCTCAAATCAAGAACGACTTTAAAATGGTGATTTTGAAGTAACTTTGATGTGGGATTTGGGATAAAGTTGGAATTGGGGTTGTTAGTCAAAGTTCGTATTTTTTTTCTAATAAAAAGACAACTGGTTGCAGAGAGCATATGGAGAGATTAGTCTAGACAGGGATGAAGCCATTTAATCCATTCGTTTTCTTTTTCTAACAAATAAGTAAACGTAATCTTTTTTACTTTCTTAAATATCTTCTTGCCGAACACTGGTAAAAAAAAATTATTTTATTTTGTATATTTTTTTAAAGATAATTTTAAAATAATAAGGGATATCAATTACTCAATCAGGTTTTTCTAAGATTTACTGTAAATAACATTATCAAAACTTTTTTATTTTTAAATCGTAATTATCAATTATGTGTTTAGACTTTTCAATCATTTCAAATGTATTATATTCCTTTGATTTTGATTAAATTGACTTGTATGCACAATCAAGGTCACAAACAATATAAAAAGAATTTAATAAAGAAGACAGTAATATTTCAATCCTTCTTTACTATTTAATAAGATAATAGAAGTTATTAATCTTTTTTTAAAGGGTATTCAATCCTGAATTTGAATTTGAGACCTCTTCTATGGAGAGCGGGCCTAACCAGGTGAAACAATAGTGATAACATAATTTATTAACTAATAATCCTTATTTTTTTATTATTACTAAAAATTAAATAATTAAGCCCCATCATATAAAATAAGTAGTAAACTTGATTTGACCTATATTTTAGTGAAATTATAAAACTAATTAAAATAATAATTTACAACGATATTAAAAATATAATACAGCTTATCATTAATTTGATATCATATAGTATTTTTAATAAACAAAATAAGTAATTAAAAAGGTTATTTATTTTTTATAAAAATAAATTACAAGAAATCATCATTCACATGCAAAAAGATTCTGAAAGGGAAAGGGATGGTCGAAAACGTAACGGGGTCAACGCACGGACGCACGGCGTCTACCCACTTTCCAGTAATATACTTCCATTTTCCTAAAACGGTAAAAGGAAAAATCATACTTATATGCATAGGATATTTAAAATAGTCATGTGTGACGAAAAAAAACAATTTTTTCAACATTACGAACGAACGGATTACTACAAGACGAAACAAATGCAACATGTTATGTTACATAATCGGATGAAGATGTAACAAAATGATTAATTACAAATTTATAACTAGGGTATCCATTACCCATCACCCCACCATTCAAAGGTTTTGTCATTTTAACACTACATCATTCCATTTACCATGGAAAATACTTATTACTCTACCCCTTACGTTTAAAATCTGGATTTATAGAGAGATGTCTCACCTTTCACCATACCACACCCAACCAAGGGGTTGTGTTCATGGATTATAACGTATGTCACCTAGGAATAATGCGTTTTGCATTATATAATGTTTTAAAAATTAGTTCGAACAGACTGGTTGAAACGAAAACCAAGGAAAAGCATGGGCGGATCCAATGTAGAGCCCGGGATACCCTTCAAATTTTTTTCGGTAGTGTAATTTTTCTAGAAAAATTTCGTTTTATATAGTGTATTTATACGTTTTCGTTCACTTATAAACACAAACAAACATGCGGTCTATTGGATAAGGTATTAATATAATGAAGTAGAGGTCTTAGAATCAAATCTCCCTCTTTACAATTACATGTTCTTTGTTTACTCTTTATTTTTTATTTTCCACCTGATATCCTCACATTTCATTTGATATCTACTTTGATTCTCACATCGATTCAATTATCGAAAGATATTTCAACTTCATGTTTATATAACAAGACTTAAGGTTAGCTAAGTATTCAATTATGGTTTGGGTTTAAAACCGAAACCTAAGTACCTCGGAAAAAAATTTAGGCCACCTGAAAAAAAAATTGGGATACCCTTTTACTTTGACCCTGGCTTCGATCATCAGTTTTATGCCAAGTTCTAGACGAGATCGAACCAGACGATTCTCAAAAAATCGGGTTGAATCGGTATCATAGAACAGTAAAAAAAACTGTTAGAACTAATGTATTGAACTTGGATTTCACTTAAACCGTTAACACAAGCCATTCCAACATAAACTGAATAACCATCAACCTTCGGGTTATCCTATTCAAACATCAAATGTCGATCTTCTTCCCATTCAATCATTCAGACGCTAATCTTCTATGTTCCTATGTTCATGGTTTTATAGTTGGTTGACCTGACAATCGAACAGACGTCATGTCATACAGGGGGAGATTGATGTATTCCAACCATGTTTTTTCTTACCATGTGGGGAAAAACCCAACCGGTATGGTGTTCCCACACTTACCACTAGGGATGAGATTTAGAACCGAAAAACCGGATCGGAACCGAAATCGGACCGGAACCAGAACCGTTAGAACCGGAATATGTAAAACCGGTTTGGATCTCGGGTTTAAAAAATGGCTCTATCTGGGTTCCGGATAATCTAGGTTTCGGGTCCGAATAAACCGGGTTTAAGAACCGGAACCGTGTTAGGAACCGGAACCGGTTTTAGGGGCTGGAACCGGTTTCTATGGAAAGTTTAAAACATGCATATCTCATTAGTTTGAAGTCAGATTGGAATGAGGTATTTTCCATAGTATAGTTTATAGTTTTTACATGATTTTAGACTATAATTTTGTCATTTTTGGGTTTATATTCATTGACTTATACTCTCTCAAAATCGAGATATCAAAGCTGGAAATTTTTTATTTATTTATTTATTTTTTTTGTATTCTGTGATAGTTTTAAAACATACATATCTCATTCGTTTAAAGTCGGATTGGCATGAGGTTTTTTCTATAGTATAGTTTCTAGTTTGTATATAATTTTAGACTATAATTTTGTCATTTTTGGGTTTAGATCATTGACTTATAGTCTCTCAAAGTTGAGATATCAAAACTAGAAATTTTATGTTTTTCAGCTTTTTTTATATTCTGTGATAGTTTTAAAACATGCATATCTCATTCGTTTGAAGTCGGATTGGCATGAGGTTTTTTCTAAAGTGTAGTTTATAGTTTGTACATGATTTTAGACTATAATTTTGTTATTTTTGGGTGTTTATTCATTGACTTATAGTCTCTTCAAAGTCGGGATATCAAAACTGAAAATTTTATATTTTTCAGCTATCTTTGTATTTCGTGATAGATTTAAAACATACATATTTAATTCGTTTGAATTCGGAATAGCATGCGGCTTATAGACTATAATTTTATCATTTTTGGTTTCATATTCATTGATTTATAGACTTCCAAAGTTGGGATATCAAAGATACGATTTTTTTTTCAGCATTATTTTTGTATTTTGTGAAATTTTAAAACATGCACAGGGCCGGTTCAGATGGTGGGCAACCTGGACGACCGCTCAGGACTCACGTCTCCAGAGGGCCCAAAATTTCTGGGCTATGTAGTTTATGTATATAAAAAAATTATTATTCTAGTTGATTTTTAAGTCCTAAAGTTGATTCAAACTCAAATTAGCTTAAAAGATAAATAATATGGCTTGATTGTTATTGCTAAATGAACATGTCTATAGTGAAGAATAAATGATATTTTTTTAATCTTTATTATATTTGTCTTTGAGAGGTATTTTCTTTCTTTTTGCCCCGGGTCCCATATACATTTGGACCGGCCCTGAACATGCATTCGACCCACTTTACCCGATTCCCCGGGTTTTTCCGTTTTTGACTCACTTTATCCGGTTCTATTTGACCCACTTTAATATTTTCGGGTTTTTCGGTTCTAGACCCACTTACCTGGTACCTTACCCGGAACCGGGTCCTATATACCGGTCCGGTTCCCGATCCTAAAAAATCTTGTTAACCTATTCTCGGGTTTTTCGGGTCCGGGTTTGAACCCACTCTCATCCCTACTCACCACCAAAGTCCACCTAGATGCCACCTAAGCTCACTATACCATGCAATGGCAATATACATGTTAGTCTAGGGATTAAAGTTACAAACGTCATATAAATTTAGTAATATTATGCTATCATTGATATTATTGCAGTGTAATTGTTTCTACGGTGTATGAAATATAGATTGATCAACCTGCATGACAATTTTCTTAACCATTAATGTAAGGTTGGTTTAAACCGACATCTTGCATGATACATTAGTTACATTTTCTAAAGATGTTGATAAAATATACCCTACATTTATTAATCCGTCTCTCTAACTATTTTTTTTTAACATAAAATATTATAGATTCATTATTCCCATGAGAAAGAAAATGTACTTTACATTCATAAATCCATCTCTTTGTCCTACTAAGTTGTATATGGATGTTTTCTCTCTTTCACAAACTACAGCGTATTTAGCGCCATACCCATATGCATCTCAATAGAAAACAGGAGGAATCGTCCCCATGCATCTAACAAGATAGCTGCAAGTTAATCGAATAAATTGTTGTGTCTATTTTGGGTTGATCTTGATTCTTTTTAATCATGGAACGAAATAAAGATCTTGGGTATGTTGAAAATCAGCAATAAAACATTTGTGATGCCACAGATAGGGAAGGTAGACGACATAGAACTGCAGAGAATTGGACGGTGATGGACGTGAATGGGAGCTTGATTGAAGTGATAGTGGTGGATTTTACTTGGATAAAATCAAGACCTTATTGGTTCAAAGAAAAAAAAGGTGGTGGCTGATGAAAACAATAATCATAGTAACAAATTATATGAAAGTGGGGTTTGGCACGGTGACACCGATTATTACAAGTTCAGATCCTTGTTTGGTGGGAACGTTTTAAACAAAAAATGGATACTATGTATGGTTATAGCATCATGATGTATTAAAATATTTAAATATAATTTCAATAGTTATTAAAAGTTCTTACAATTTGACCTAACGAGTTATTATATCTTGAAATATATTCATAATTGTATCATTATTGATACTTTCTAAAACATTTTTTTCTTCAATATATAATATTAAACTATCATTCAAAAATTGATCACATATTTTGTTGTGTATATGAGTGTAACACCCTGTTCTGAAAGTATCCGTTATTGGATTTCAAAACCCGAGGCAAGGGGCGTTTCAGTCTTTTATGGGTCTTGAAGTTCTTATTTGAGAATTTTTGGGTGGAGGTGTATCGCTAGAAGTGAAGGGCTTCTCGTCACCATTTCATGGATATAAAGTTCATCGGAAAC